ATCATTTACTTCATATCCTAATTGACACTCAGTACAACAACTGGAATCAAGACACCTTGAACAAGACACTCCACATGAACCTATTAACATTAACCATATGAGTAATAAACATAGTCTTTTTACCACAGGTACATCCATCAGGATTCAAATAGGAACCAGATGAACAGGTTTTACAACAAGATGAGTTTTGACAATTGTCACAGTTTGAAACAGTACATGCAAAAGAAGTAGGTGAAGGAGTAGGTGAAGGGGTAGGTGAAGGAGTAGGGGAGGGCATCACTATTAATAAAGAAAGAGTAAAATATAAAAGAGTAATGGTAATAGTAATAAAATTGGTGTTTATCACTATAATTATTTTAATCAAGATAATGATGAGAAAGAAGAGAAAGAAACATAGTGAGATAAAAAATGTGTCGATGTGTAAAGCCAAAGGATCACATGATTGAAAAGAACACAGCAACATTAATTCCATTGACCTTAAAAGGTAACAATTAATAATATCACTCACCAGTACAGTTGACTCCCTGGTGTCCAGTGCCAGTACAATTACAAGTATAATTATCAGGAGGTGAATACTGTATACACTCTCCTCCATTCTTACATGGACTGTCCCTATCACAGATACTAGTGGAATCACAGTCAGTACAATTAGAATTAACAGTATAACCGGCAGAGCAGGTTAAATTGCAAGCTAATAATCAAGCATAATAATAATAGTAATACAATTGTAATACTTACTGCAAGTGAAGTTATTACTCTCAGTAGCAACATAATTAGGACCTGATGATGATGTACAGTTAGTGGTAGTAATACACTGACCATCAGAAGAAAATGATAAACAACAATCACCAGAGCCTGATCCAGTACACCTCATCAGTCCAGAATTACAAGCACCGTCACAAGCTAAATGAGATGAACAATTATTTTAATTATAATTAGCTTACATCTACATCTAGTATCACCACCAAAACCTTCCCGACACCGATAACAATTGGTTCTTGGAGGAGCACCAACAACACTGGGAGGAGGATCATCTAAACTACCAGTCCTTCCACTCCATGTACCACTGCTACACTCAATATCAAATATCCTAGTTTGTTCAGGTTCTCCTGGGTTAGGAGTAAATGTAGCTATAAGAGAGATTCCTTCATAAGTATCAATCATGCTCCCTTGAACTAGACAGACATTATGAACTGATCCTTCAGTTACATTAGGAGAGTATGACTGGCCACCATCAGAAATGACTAGTAAAGGAGGCAATACAGCCTCTATCTCAGCTATTGTTGGTAGAGGACAATCCTGAGCAACTGATAGTGACAAAACACATAAAACAAAGACTAGCACTGCTTCTCTCATCATTGCTATCAAATTGCTTTCCTTACAAAATAAAAGGAATTTATGACATCATCAACTGGTGACATAAAATAGACAAAGCAAAAATCATTGTCATTATTTTGGAGAGCAATAGGTACATGCTCTAAATTATTAGCTAAAGGTTGGTCAGGTTCCCTTCAAGAACAATCTTGCAACTATATTGTACACTTACAGCAACTGCTCACATTATGGAAGCTTAATATACTCTTTTGATAATAATTTCACAAACACACTATAGACTATAGATTTAGCTAATGCATGAGTTTAGTAAAAACTGAAATAAAACCAAAAAGACTAGTATAAAGGAAACAAGGCAGTGAGTGTCCCAAAGGCATAAGGAGTGTATTCAATAATATATGTGATCATGATTCAGTTGGAAGGTTGAGTCATTGGAGACAATGAGATATG